CAACTCTATTTTTACATAGATCAGCTGATTGTTGAGTTCTAACCCCGGCGACAAAACTTTTCAGCACCCCCACGTATTTTTCAATTTCGTTAATCCAAAGTTTATGGGATTATCGACGAGTTTTTTTCATAGTCAGACTTTAAGAGCTCAACTCTAATTTTATCAGAAAAGAGCACTAGTAGGAATAAAAGTTGTTTACACACGTTAACATACCGTTTATTTATTATATAAATTTTTCGTACGTTCGCTAAATTTTACAAATAATTTGTCCAGTTTGCATCCGGTGTAGATTTGTAGACATTTTCCTCGTTCTGACAAAACATGGGAGATTACTCAACACGCTCTAATAAGTTTTTTTATGTGTACGTACGCTATAATAGAATAGTTATGTTTAAAGAATTGCGACGTCACAGAAAGTTATCTTTCTCTAAAATGATGAAATTTTATCTTCGATTAACAAGTTATTTCAATTAGCAAGTAGATTCGGATTACGGATTGCAGTAATTTATTATAAACCATTGAACGTACTACGCGTACGCATACAAACAAAATTATCCGGGCATGTTTCATTTTCATCAATAAAATCGATAGTGAAAATTTAACCCAGCAAGTTGCAAGTAAATAATACACACAAAATCGGAGCGCTTATTGATAAAAGAGTCAGAGTAGATAGTATCATAATAAAATTTTTGTTTAAAGTTTTGTATTCTATTGCGAAAATTCGTGCCAACTATAATATGAAACTTGCGGAAGATTTGAAAAAACAAACCTCAGACGGATACGAGATAACAATTTATTATTTTTATGAGGAAATTACAGAATTTTAATGAGACAACTTATTCATTTTCTTTGTAATACGTTTCTATGTTCCCTTAGACTTTGCTTGAAAAAACATGATTTAAAATCAATAAAAGTAAAAGATGATAAGTTACTATAGTTCCTTATAAATGACAATCCGTGTGAACATCGACAGTGATGATATTTGATCACTACCCGTAATATGGTCGAAGAACTTGATACCGCGACGGAGGCTATTTAAATGGTCAGAATAAGAATTAATATCGATATGTGAGAAATGGTGGATCACAAGGAATCATATAAATAGCTTGCCTGAAATTAATTGTTCAAGTTCTTGTCATAATAAAAACTTACTCTTAAGGGTCTGTTTAAAAAAACATAAACAAACTTCCGATAATCCACCACAATCCAAGGTTAAAATTTAATATACCACTCCGTTCGATTTTCTCGCTACCAGAGGTTGCAGCAGTAGGATAATCACTTGCCGTTTTAGTTGGTACACTAGAACTAGCGCTAGTAGTAGTAGTAGCAGCAGTGGAGTAATGGAGATAGTAAGCACAGGCAAGAAGTTTTGGGGGTTGATTAAGTTGGTCCATCATCTCAATCATAACGCTATATATATCAGGTAATGACGCTGGTACATTAACTGTTGCTACCATACTAAATTGACTTCCAGCTAAAATTGGACATTGGGTGCAAGCTGGAGACGTGGTCATTGGTTCCAAGAGACTTTCAAACTTATCACCGAATGAAATCTCAACTACGGTCTGATTATTGATGTCTGCTGATAATTTACCGGAAATGGTAAATGCATTGGGTTTACCAAGAACGAAAGGATCAGGTGAAATTGTGACGGTAAGTGGATCGGCGATATCAGAGGGACATTTTTCAAAGGTGGTGGCTTTTTTGTAAAGCTTTGTATTAGCATTGACCATGGAAAGTGTAGCCAATAAAATTAAACCGAAAATATAAAATTGGTTCATGATTTTCTATAAAAACAAGACTTGGAAGATTGTCTGGTTGGAATTCCTTTCGACAACTTGACAACTTTATAATAGCAGCCGGCATGTTTGGTAATTATAAAATCGAATTATCAAGTTGAATTTCATTGGACATTATATAAAATGCGTCTTACTGATTGGCGCCATTTATTTTGATATTGTAAATATAACACAACATACTGAGAAGACGCCAGATGAGTTCTACCATAGACCAAACAATTAAAGCCGGACTGGTCAATGGAAAAAAAAAAAGAACGGGTTGGTTAGTTGTATGTGTTTATTTTGGCCTGCCCGACCCCTTTGAACGCTGAACAATATGATTGATTACCAAGATTTACACGACCTACGTCACCAACTCATACATGTAAATTGTATTTTTAATATTAAATTAGTAATGAAACCCTCACTTTTACCAGTCGAATAAAGAATCGGCGACAAAACTTTTCAGCCCCCCCCCCCCCCCCCCCCCCCCCCCAAACAAAACACAAAAAAAAAAAAAAAACCGAAAGACCGCAGAGACAAAAAGAGAAAATAAGAATACGAATACCAGGTTGTGAT